TAAACTTACAGAATAATTTATAATTTAAATGTTAACATTATAAACATGATTATTTATAATATATACTTAAATGAGTTGAATCCTCAGATATAAAGAGTAGTCATTAGTAGCTCAATGTATTCAATTATGGGTATTATATTTTTGGATATACCAGATAGTGCATGGAAGATGGAAACTAACATGATAAAGGACCATTACATTTAAAAGAACTGATATATATCAGTTCGGAAAACAGAAGACTCTAGGGGAACATGGTAGCTACCTTAAAATATTTTTAAAGGCTATAATATGGAAAAGGATTAGATTTATTCTAATAAGTCTAACCACCTTTTCAGTTTCTCTCAAATCCACCCCCTTCTCTCCTCAAATACTGCCACCACCCTGGTGGCCCTCATCACCTCATGCCTAGCCACGGGTAGGTAACCTGCGGCCTCCAGGCCACATGTGGCTTTCTAGCTCCTCAAGTGTGGCCCTTTGACTTAGACTATTGTAATAGCCTCCTGGTTGGTTTGCTTGCCACAAGTCTCTCCCCATTCCAGTCTATCCTCCATTTATTTGCCAAAATGATTTTTCTGAAGTACTGATCTGACCATGTTACTCCACCCCCCATACTCAATAAATTTCAGTGGCTCCCTATCCCAGGAACAAATTATAGGATGTCTCTGACCTTGCATAGGCTGCTGTTCTTCCTCCCTGTGATGTTTTTTTTTTCTCCTCCACCACTGGGAACCTCAACCTTCATTCGAGGCTCATCTGAGATGCTATCTTGTCATATCTACTCACCCCATAAACTAACTTTGGGTTTCTCTTTTTATATGGTCTGTATTTACCTCTCTGTCAATGTGTTGTATTTCCTCAGAGGTCCTGGAGGGCAAAAGTTTCACTTTTATCTTTGCATCCTCTTCACTGACATGGTACCTTGGTTATAGCAGGCTCCTAAATGCTTACTGAATTAATCACTAGTGCTTTGGGGTCTGAACCATGAGTTTATGGAAGCTAAGCAAACTGAATGAGAATTGCTCCCAAGAGAATAGCAAAACTCTTCTGCCATTTTGGAAAGTGAAACTGAGAACTCTGATGACCTCTGCATACAATTATGTCTAGAAATCTGGAGAGGATCTTGTTTTTCATCATCATCATTATCATAACCAAGTTCTATGTGTCTTGTCTATTGGCATTGATGAAATAGAAAAGCAATGAGCTGCAATGGAAAGAATGCTAGACCTGCAGCCCAGAGAGACCTGGGCTCATATTGTAGCTCTTACACTCATTTCCCGTGTGACTTTGGACATGTAACTTAACCTCTCAACACCTCAGTTTCCTCGCCTATGAATAATGATAATAAAATCTGCAACACTCATCTTCCAGGGTTGTTGTGGGGGAAGCACATTGTAAAACTTAAAATGTGTTATTATCATGGATGAATTTTTCTGGTCGGCTTAGCTTTCCATCCTGTCATCAGGGTGACATTCTTGCCCTCCATTTCAAATCCTGTATAGCTCAGTTTTTCTCTCTGAGGAAGGGAACCGGGAAAGAGGAAAATAATTTTAATGGAAATGCGAAGGCTACAGAAGAAAATATGCAAGAATGAAGGTGATATTGAAGATATGAATGAACTACTAAAAAAGTATCCCAGCTAGCAAAGAATGCACTATAGAGACCAGAGGCATAAATTCGTGATTCCAAACAAAGTTTGAGAACATGAGAAACCAGGTGGAATAAAAAGATGAAAGAAAAGCTTTGAGTTAAGGGGAGACCAAAAGATCTGTGAAACTGTTTAATAATGGTGAGTTTTTCTTTTTTCTTTTGCAAGGCAATCAGGGTTAAGTGACTTGCCCAGGGTCACACAGCTAGTAAGTGTCAAGTGTCTGAGGCTGGATTTGAACTCAAGTCCTCCTGGCTCCAGGGCTGGAGCTCTATCCACTGTACACCTAGCTGCCCCTAATAACATTGAGCTTCAAGCACTTAATAAATGCTTGTTGACTGACTTAATAAAGACTTTTTAACACATTTCACCAGAACAATGATTGTCATTATTGGGTATAAAGGAATTATAGTGCTTTAGGAGAACAGGACTTGTGAATAAAGGAGTAAATCTCTTGGTTTGTAAGGAAACTGGTTTCTTTTCCTTCCTTAGCACTCCAGGTACTTATCACTTGATGTATTCCTTTGCTTATTTGTTTTAGGCACCCCCCGTGGTTTGGGGGGGATCAAAGAGAGAAAATAAAGGGCAGCTAATTTCCTTGTCCTCACGAAGATTTTGTGGGACAAATATCCTATATGTTCTCTCCTTTACTACTTCAATATTCCTAGGAGGTAGAGTGTAAGCATCCGTTATCCCAGTTTTACATATGTAAAACAAACAAAAACAAAAGCTAAAGCAGAGAGGTGTTAAGTAAAATAAGGAAAGCCAAATCTCTTTGTCTGGCATTGAGTTACTAACAAGCCAGGGGAATATGAGGCCAGTCTTCTCACTAGGAAAAATTGCCTCCTGATGTATTTTGCAGTGTTTTATTTGCTGTGATTAAAAAAAATCCACATAGTCCTTCCTATCTCTTTTAAATGGCATAAGATTCTGCTTAATAATAGAATGATGGTGATAATGCTGTCAGCATATTGGTTATGGCTACAACTGTAAAAGGGCCCTCTGAGTATAGGCTTGAGGCAGCTGGTTGTCCATCTCTGCTTAGCTCTGCCCCTTCATGAGCTACACTCATTGTCTACCCTTCCAGCTTCTTTATTTCCATAGATGACATCACCATTCTAGATCTCACCAATCAAACCCAGAACATAGGAACCCTCTCTGATCCTTCCCTCATACCACACGTAATCACACTTCCATTCGCCAAGTTCTGTTGTTTCCATCTTCATAAAATCTCTGGAAATGGTATTCTTTCTTCTCTCACTGCAGCTTTCTTAAATTTGGGGCTATCAAGACTTTGCATTTGTGCTTGAAGATTTGCAAAGGGCTTCACATATGTTAACTCATTTGATCCTCACAACAACACTAGGAGGTAGATGTGTTACCACCTCAGTTTTACAACTGAGGAAACTGAGGCTCAGAGAGGTTAAATGACTTGCCCAGGGTCACACAGCTAGTAAGTGTCTGAGGCAGAATCAGAAGTCATCTTCTTTACTCTAAGTAAGGAAGTTCTTCTTGGGGGCCATCTCCAGGCATCCTGATCTATATCTGGCTACTGGATGCAGATGGCTCCAGAAGAGTAAGTCAGGCTGGTAACTTTGCACACTTCCCTCACTTAAATCCAATTAACTAGCGGCAAGTCATGGCATCACCTTCCTGATGCCACAGTCCTCTTTGAGAATGAAGGACAAACGACAAGGACGCTCTTACTATATTCTCCAGACACTGCACCCCTCAGCTGCCTCCAGATTTCTAAGCAGATCTCCTGCCTTCCATTCTATTCCCTCTCCATTCAATCCATCCTTCCTAATCCTCTCTGATTGGATAACTCTTCTCCTCAAAAACTTTCAATGGCTACCCTTTACCTACTAAATAAAGTATGAACTGTCAATCTTTGCATTGATGTCCCTCTTCAATCTGACTCTAGCTTTGTCTCAAACACACACTTCATATAATTTATGTTGAAACCAAAATGAACTACTGTCATTTGTCCTACTGTTAGTCTGCTCTCTCCCTCTTCCTGAGCTTTTGCTCAGACTGTGCCTGAGGAGTGGAATTTAGGGGAGCAGAGGAAGCAGCATTTTCACCTGTTGAAGTTCTTCCTCACTTCAGAGCTTATGTCAGGTGCTACCTTCTCCTTGACACACACCACCCCCAGCTCAAAGTCAGCTCTTTACCCAAATTTCTCAAAGCATTATGCTTATATCTCTTCTTTGCAGTAACATATTCTCTTATGTTTTGTTCACTTGTTTCAGTTGTGTCTGACTCTTTGTGACCTCATGGTGTTTTCTTAGCAAAGCTATAGGAGTGGTTTGCCATTTCCTTCTTCAGCTCATTTTATAAATGAGGAAACTGAGGCAATCAGGAAGTGACTTGCCCTGGGTCCCAAAGCTAGTAAGTGTCCGAGGCTAGATTAGAACTCATGAAGATGAGTCTTCCTGACTTCAGGTCCAGCACTCTAACCACTGTGCAACCTAGCTACTCTTGAGCATCATACTTATTAGCATGGGTGAGTGTGTGTGTGTGTGTGTGTGTGTGTATACACATAAATATACATACATAAACATATACACATATGTCCGTTTTTAAGTTATGAACTTTCCCCAAACTTCTGAAATAAGATAGCCTCTGTGTTCATAGTATCAACTGTGTAGCAATAAATAGAAATGTCATCAATTTAAAATTCCACAAATTAGCCTTTCTAATGGAAACTGTAAAAGAAAACCCACACAGTAACCTCAGATTAGATCAAAGCTTCTTAACCTTTTGAGGGGAATGGACCCTTTTGCCAATCGGGTGAGAATAATGTTTTTAAATGAATAAATTAAAATGCTTAGGGATTTGAAAGGAAACCAATTATGCGGAAATACAAATTTCAAAATAGTAAACAAAACAAAACAAAAATACAAGTTTAAAGACTCCAGGTTAAGAACTCCTCCCTGACTTCTTGGATCTTTTCCTTCAGTCTGACTCCCTACCTCCTTGTTCAATCTCCAGGGTCATTCCAGCTTCTTCCTCATCCCACGCAACTCCTATCCTTCCTTACAGACAGGTTAGTTAGCCAGCCTGTTTATATCTTGAAATGTGGTGCTTTTCATTAAATTAAGACTTGACAAATGAGATGATGGAGACCTTGCCAAGAGAAACATATTGCATTAACAAGATATCAAATCCACCCAATAGAATTACCATAGATGGGGCCCAACAACCTTGGCTATGAAAGAGTTCTCTCTCCCAGGACACTATGAAATCCTGGGAAGGACTATCAATAGTTGTGGCATCATGCCCCCTGTGGAATAGCTATGCTCACTGCTTTGAGGGTCGACTGATATTTTTTCACACCTCTGTTTTGTTTTAGCCTATGACAGATCAGCAAGTGAGGAGAACAGTGTCAAAGGAGAGAACCCAAAGAAGAGAAGTGATGAACGGCAGTGTCCGGATCAAACAAACACACATCTCTTTGGCCGTGACAATATGCACTCAAGTTTCTGTGTTTTGTTGTAATAGGACAATGATCTATGACCCCCCCGTTCCCCTCCAACTTGTTGCTTTTTACTTTCATGTACTGTAGCAGCAAAGAAAACTAATTCCTTTCAACTTTTCAGTTCAACAGTTCTATCTTGTCTCTTCCTCTTTGGGAGTAAAAGTTGAGAAATGAAATAAAAAAGTCTTGCAAGTTTAGGAAAATTTACTTCTAAATTTTAAATTCAAAACTGGAACTCCAAGTTTTTAGTCTCCAAGTACTTATCTGATCTCCCAAATGATGTTTTGAGATGTGATGGCTCATTTCCCTCTCTCCTCCTAGAAAGAAAGAAAGAAAGGCATTGTTTTCCCATGGTCACTTACAGAGTTTGCAGAGAAACTTTCTCCTGAGTAATAGACTGAAGTATTTGTTCTTAAGAAAGTGCAGTGATACTGAAGACATAGGGTTTGCAATTTCTTTTGGATAAGTGGTTGAAAATGGGCTGCTGCACAAGAAAGACCCAGGCCCAGCAGTCAGTTTGTAAATCAGCTAATAGTAAACACGTGATGTACACCGAGCCCAGCCAGAATCTGGAGAGTAAATAATGATCTTTCCCAGCCCTGGTTTGGAAAAAATGAGACGATGGAACAAAAACAATGCCGGAGAGATGCTTTGAAAATCAAATAGAAGGAAAGAAGCAGCAATCACTTTGCCGAGTTAGCAAAGATGTATCATGTAGCCGGGAGGGAGGGTGGTGGTGCCTGTTTTTCAAGACATGTCCCTGTCTCTCCTCCAAGCACTACTTCCACCTGGGACCAGCAGCCAAACTGCCCCTCAAATCATGATGTGAAAATAAAATTAGACCTGAACAGGGCAATCAGTTGAGCAGGTAGGGTCATTAGTAGCTATAGTGAAGGAATACGTATGTTCAATGTTTACGCCCTCTAAATATCAGTGACCTGGGAAGTCAGTCATTTCATAAGCATTTATTAAGCACTTTTCTAGTGCCAGGCATTGTCCTAAGTATTGGGGATTCGAATAAGGGCATAAGAAAGACCTGGCCCTAAAGGAACCCACAATTTGATGGGAGAGACAACATGCAAACAATTACATAGAAATAAGCTATAGATGGAGTAAATTGGAGATGATCTATAGAGGGAAGGCATCAGCATTAAGGGGGACTGGGAAAGGCTTCTTGTGGATTTTAGTTGTGACTTCAGGGAAGCCAGAAGACAGAGATGAAGAGGGAGAGTATTCCAGGCATGGGTGGGTGAGGGAACAGCCAATGAAGATGAAAGTATATGGAACTGGGAGATGTAGTGTCTTTTTTAAGGAACAGAATGGAGGCCATTGTTAGTATATTACACGGTATGTAGGAATGAATAAGGTGTAAGCATGCTGGAAGTGTAGGGAGGGGCCAAATGATTCAGGGCTTTGAATGACAAAGAATTTCCTTTTATATCTTAGAGGTGATAGGGTGTCACTGAAGTTTATTGAATAGGAGGAGGGTGATGTGGTTGGATCTGTACTTCAGGAAGATTATTTGGAAAACTGAATGGAGAATAAACTTAAATAAGGAAAGACTGGAGGAAAGAACACCAACCTGTAGACTATTGCAAGAGTCCAGACTTGAGGTGATGAGGGTCTCTACCTGTGTGATGATAATGACAATGTCAAGGGAGAGAAAGAGGATACGTATTAGAGATACTACAAAAGTAAAATCAACAGGACTTGGGAACAGATTGGATATTGGAGAATAAGAGAGAGTGAGAAATAGTGAAGAGTTGAGTATGGCACCTAGGTTGTAAGCCAGGGTGACAAGAGGATGGTGGTACCCTCAACAGTAATAGGGAAGTTTAGAAAAGAAGAGGTCTTTGGGGAAAAGACAATGAGTGGTTTTGACTTGTTGAGTTTAAGATGTCTGTGGGACAACTCAGTTCAAGATGTACAATGATGTAAGACTCTAAGTCAGGAGAGAGGTTAGGGCTAGAGTAAGTAGATTTGAGAATCATCTGCATAGCAATGATATTTTAATCTATGGAAGTTTATGAGATCACCAAGTGAAATAGCATAGAGAGAGAAGAGAAGAGGTCCCAGGGCAGAGCTCTGGGGAATACCACACCATTAGCAGGAATAATCTGGAAGAAGATCCAGCAAACGAGATTGAAAAGGAGTGGTCAGATTGATAGGAGGAGAACCAAGATAGAGTAGTGGCACTGAAACTTAAAGAGAAAAGACTATCAAGGAGGAGAGACTGATCAACAGTGTCAAAGGCTGCAGAAGTCAAGAAGGATGAGGATTGAAAAACTGCCATTTTGAAAATAAAGAAGCCTTTTTTTTTTCCCCAGCCTTGCTATGGTTCTGTCAGATTCCTAGGAAATCTTGACCAAAGAGGGACTCATAGTCCCCCTTCATTCCTTTCAAGAACTGGCTTTTTAAATTGAAACAATCATTGCTCCTGTGCAAAGGAGGTCTGTTAGCACTCACTTTGAGGAACGATGCGTTTGCATCTTTGTGGTCTTCCATAAATTTTAAGCAGCAACAAAAACCTCCACCGATTTGTCTGTCTCCCCTATGCTAAAGGTTCTACTTTTACTGCTGGCAGAAACTCTTCACCACCTTCATTAGTAGATTTTGTTTATGAGCAGTGAGCCCACTGCCCAGAAACCTGACTGGGGTTCAGAAACTGACTTTGGAGTCTTTGTCAAAGTTCTCCCTCCCGTCTTGGAGCTGAGCTGTGTTCCGTTTGCCCAGCAATGATAAATCGCCATCACTTCTCCATGCGTTGGGCCATTATCCCTGCTGCCTGGGAGATACAGTTCCAAACAGATGGCTGGTCAAATATCCCTCACTGCCATGCCCTGCCCCCTCCAATGTGGCATAGCAGCCCACAGATTATTACAAATACCTCCAGCCTATCTGGAAACATGGGCATAATGGTTTTTAAGCACCCTTAAACACCCTTCAGTACCTTTACACGGGGAAATGAATTGCACGATGCATTGCCCCACCATTCCCTATGTCCTATCCCCTTGCCTTTGCTCTGTTAGGCTTTCCCATGGTATTAAATCAAGAAGGCCAAAGTTAACCACAAAGTTGGCATTTTCCACATACTTTCTCCTCTCCCTCCCCTTCCCTTCTGTCACTGCTTTATCCTTTCTGGACATCAGAACTCAGTTTCAGCCTTGCTCAGTCTTGTCTTGGATCTGTAGTCTTCCCCCATGGTCGGAGTAAAAGTTGTTCATTCTTTTCAATAACCCTCTCCTTCCCCCTTCCCCCTCCCATCTCTCTCACTCTCCCTTTTCCAAATTTCCTTCAGTTCAAGTTGTATATGAGCGAGAGAAGAAGAAACATGCACTGGGCTCAGGAATGAGATCATTTCTCTCCTCTGTTAGCAGGCTTGCAACTTGCTAGTCAGGGTTACTGGAATAAAGCAGGAGAAAGCTCTCTTTCCATAGTGAGCCATCTGGCCCCTGTAGATTCATGCTGATGCTAATCTGCTCAATTCTTTTTCTTTCTCCTTTTCTTCTTTTTCTTCTTATTTTTTTTTCTCTCCCAAGGAACACTTCATCTGCAGCCATAAATTCAGACTTTTCCCTTCTGAAGGCAAAGCTTCATTTTGTACACATATTTATTGCTGAATTATTCACCACCACCCCTCCCTTTCCTTCTAGGTGTCAGGAAATCATTGTGATCATTGGTGGGTCTATGTCGTTTTAATGTCAGGGCAGTACTTTCAAATGGAAATTAGGCAATTAGGCTTCACATGGAGAAATCTGACAGATGTAGAGAGGTTTTACACCACTGGCCATGCCACAGTGACAAAGGCAGCCCATGGCTCTCTAGGGATTTTTAAATAAATAGAATATGTTTCAAGAACATGGAAAAATCCAAAAGTAATTAACTGTGTGCTAAGAGTTCATAGATCCTGTAGCTGTTTAACTTCAAAATGTGATAATGACATGTCAACGAGATCACTTAACTCATCCTTGTAACAGAGGCATCAGAAAACTTATTAAATGTGCATTCAAACATAGGCGAATGTTTCATAAGGCATCTGGATTTTATTTTGCCCTCCCCCCCGCCTTGCCCCCATTTACAAACTTAAAGCTTCAAAGTATTTCAGTACTTATTTCTTTTCCTCTTTATAATATACATATATGGAGGATATGCACTCACACAATACACATACACATATATGGTTGGGGTCAGTTGCTTCAGTTATGTCTAACTCTTCATGACTCTATTTGGGGTTTTCTTGGCAAAGATACTGAAATGGTTTGCCATTTCCTTCTCCAGCTCATTTTACAGATGAGGAAACTGAGGCAAACAGGGTTAAGTGATTTGCTCAGGGTCATACAGGTACTAAGTATCTGAGGTCAAATTTGAACTCAAATGTTCCTGACTCCAAGAGCCACCCAGCTGCCATATGCACATGTATACATACATACATGCATATACATACCTTCTGGGTATGTAGACATCACAGAGGTCTCAAGGACCCTGGCGAAATTGTAGATCTAGTGGCACCTGATTGAACAAAAGCATCTCTGTATTTTAAATTCGAATCTTGAAAGGCTTTCCAGCTTGTCTTTGTATCTCCACTGCCTAGCACAGTGCCTGGCACTAAGCTCTTAGGAAACGCTTATTGATGAATTGCTTGAGGAACATGGCTGTTATTAAAGAAATATATAGGGGCAGCTAGGTGGTACAGTGGATAGAGCACTGGCCCTGGATTCAGGAGGACCTGAGTTCAAATCCGGCCTCAGACACAGAACACTTACTAGCTGTTTGACCCTGGGCAAGTCACTTAACCCCATTGCCTAGCCAAAAAAAATTTTTTTAAAAAAGAAATATATATGTATATTTGTATGATATATTCACACATACATATAAAATTACATATATATATACAAATTCACACATATCTAAACATATATAAATATATTTGCATACATATATCTAAACGTATTATATATAAACATATTCACACATATATACATATATGTATATATATGTATATATATACACACACATATATATGTGTATATATATATTCTCACAGTCTCATTTAATTGATTTGGATTGGGGGAGTACAAATATAGCTTCACAGACATAAGGACTATAGAGCCTGGTCAATCCATTTACAGCTGAGGAAACTGAGGCC